GGGAGCCCGATGTGGGGCTCGATCCCAGGACCCTGGGATCATGACCTGAGCCGAAGGCAGACGCTTAACAACTGAGCCACCCAGGCGCCCCTCAACCCTCTGCCTTCTAATCTGTCACATTATCCAAGAAATCAGCGACAATGGGGCCTTAGATACAATGAGCTCATGCCCAAATCTTTGCCAAAATTTTGGGGGTGAGGAAAGAAGACATAATTGCCTATCATGGATTGCAAACTCATAAACATGATTGAGAAAAGTTAATTTATGATAAGTCAAGAACTCCAAAGTCCAAGAGAGCTCCCTGATGTCCAAATGAGCTGCACTGCTTTTCTTCCACAGGCCCTCCCTTCAGCTCCCTGCTTCTCTCCAGAACTTTTCCCTTATCATCTCGGTCCTATGTCCCTCTTCTTGTTCTGCTCCCCTGCCCCTTCTCTACCTTTCCTTTCCTTATCCCCTTCCAAAACTGTCTTTTCAGAGTGGCAATGAAAATGGAGAGCAAGGATTTTGCAAGTGGAACCTACAGAATTTTGTTATTTAAAAACAGTTGGTGTTTTGGGATGTGTGGGTGTATGTAAAAGGGGAAAATCAAAGAGTCCCAGGCTTCTGGGAGGGGTACTGAATGAGTAAGTTAACATTTACTGAAATGGGGACACTGAAAAATAAGTACATTTTGGTAAGAAGTTCCTAACAGTTCAGGCTTGGACCTGTTTGAGATACCTATCTGGCCTACTCGAGGTCAAACTGTAGTTATAGTAACAACACCTTTAGTTAAGGGCTTACTGCTGCCAGGCAAAAATGCGAATCGCTTTTAGATAAATTACTATCTCATTTAATCCTCACTACACCCCTATGACCTGGTTACTACTGGTCCCAAATGGTAAATGGAAAAATAAAGCTCAGAAAAGCTAAATAACTTCTTTAATTCCTTTGTAGTAGTGCAGGAACTCAAACCCAGCTGGTTTCATTCCAAAACATTAAGAAAAAAATTATGAAGCCAAGTTTCTTCCACACCTCTTTGAAGACCCTCGCTGAGGTGCAAGGAAGAACACTTTTCATTCCAGCCTCATCCCGACCCCAACACCACCCGCCCCTTGACCCCGCCATTAACCGGCTATATTATTACCATCGGCATACCATACTCTCTGGAATTCAGTTACCCTGCCTCCCCCCAAATTGTAGTGGTAAGCTCCCTACTGGTTCAGCTCTGCGTTCAGAGTACTCACCATGGTAAAAGATACACGAAGATAAACAACACTACATCGAAGAGGATGAAGAGCCAGAGATCCAACCAGTAGGAATGCTTTGGAAACCGGTCGGCCCGGGATTGAGACCGCACTTCGTGGTTCTGCTGCTGCCTCCCTGCTTCACCCAAGCCTAGCCGCTCCCGGGGACCGTCCCGACCATCTTCCGCAGCTGCGCCGTCCTCCATCTCGCACCAGTTGCCCCACCACTGTCGGAGCAGCCAGCAAACCCTCACGTCCTGTACTTCCGCGTTCACCTGGCCCTAAACTGGCCCCAGTCTGCCCGCGTACGCATGCGCGCTCACCATACCCGGAAACGGGCCCGGTGCCCTCTTCTTCCAGCGCGCAGGCGCCGCCGGGAGGTCCGCTGTCTCCGTGACAGCCGGCAGGCAGCGCGGCCACTACCCGGAAGCGGAGTAAGCTGGTTAGACAGGTTTTGCTAGAAGGAAAAGTCTCTGGCCGCGCCGGAAGTCACCGTCAAGTCCCGTTCCTGTCAGGTGATGGATTCCACCCAGGAACTGCCCGCGGTCCCCTTTCCTTATCCCTGTTCTTTGGGGTCTTAATGCCAAGGGTTTAGGGCCCCCTCTGATAGGTTTTGTATTGTGTACATAGCACGTTACACTTTAATCCTCAAACAGCTATAATGAGATGGACGTCATAATTATGAGCATGAGTTTCTAAGGGGACCAGAGAGCAAATCGTGAGAATGTTGCGTGTACCTCATGGGATTGAATTTAAGAATAACCCGAAGGTTTGGGAGTGTAATCCCCTAAGAGGTTAGAGTGCTAGCGGAAAGAAAATGACCATTGTAAGGGAGGAAAAATACCTACCCTCTTTGGGTCTCCAACAGGGCCTAAAAATTAAACTGACATAAGACAGATTAACAGGAGAAAAGCACACACGTTCTGTTACTTTTTTTTTTACATGTACATGAGAATCTTGGCAAGAGAATGAAGACTCGAAGAAGTGACCAGAACAGAAAGCTTTTATACCTTTCAAACAAAGGGGTTTGGGCCAGGGGTAGTAAATTGTGGAGAAATGCCTAGGAAGATAAACATTAGTGTAACAAGGTTGGTTTGTACAGATTTCTCAGCCTGAATTCCCCATCTCTGGTGATAAGACTGTTTTTCTTCCTCCTGGTACAGGGAGGGCATCTTTCACATGGGAGTTTTATCTCCTGTCAGGAAAAATTAAGGTAGGTCAGAGTGCCCCTCTTGCACCTGCTGTTTCTCAAGCTCCTTTAACTTAATCAATATGACAAAGCAGCATATTTTGGGGTGACATGCTGTGAACTCCTTCATTTCCTCTGTCTGAAAGTTCCTTAGAAGTTTCACATAAAAGCTGAATTGGTGACTGTGGAAAGAATTGAGTTAGCAGCCAAGTGGCAAGGGATCTATCTGCAAAGGGAAAGAAGAGCATAGATTAGAATAAGAATAAATAGGAAATAACAAATCTAAGCACATTTCCTCATACCCCATTAAATCAGTCTCCTATCCCTGGAAATAGGTCAGTCCAACAAAATGGCTGGACTTCATTTATCTGATGGAGAGTGTTCATCTTGTCTTTCAAAGGGTGCAGGTAAAAGCTCCTCCTTTTGGGCTGTCAGTGTGTCTAGGGTGAGGCAACTTTGGAGTATAACAGAGCCTAAACTATTAACTTCTGATAGAATGGCTTCCAATGTTTGTGTAGTGATACTGAACTCTTGTTCTATTTCTATGGAAAGATTTAGAACTGCCTTTCCAACTCATAAGTTCCAAAGCCTGGGAAAAGGGAGGTCAATATTGATAAAAACTTAGAATTGTGATGCACAAGCCAATTTTCTGTAACATCACATATAGTATATTTATGTGGCACTGATTTATGATCAAAGGAGCCCAAGTTTGTAATTTGGCTGGCATTTAAGGTGGAGTACCTGGTTACAGAGAGTGTCAGGAATCTGAGTCCACATCATCTTGACCATCTAGGTGGAACTCCTTAACCTTATCATCACATAAGATAAAAAGACCAGTATTGTTCATGGATAAGGTCAGAATGAAACTTGTGACCTACTAAGTTGGGGTTTGGTATATCTTGTCACCTGTCATGTTGTCATCTGCACATTTCCATCTTCCGTATATCCCTGTCAGTCTATGGGAGCAGAACACGTTGTGAAAGATCAGATAGAGGAGGCCTGCAATTAGGCCTTAGGAGCTGTAAGGCTTGGTTTTGTTACGTGACCAGGTGAGTGCAAATTTTTGGGCTCCCCATATGTAATCTTTGGCCTTTGGCAGTTCAGCTGCTCCCAGGTTACACAAGAGTGGCTTGTGAGCCTGCTGTAAAATCTGGTGGTTTGGCAAGTGTCAGTACCATAAGAGTCAGTAATGAGACCATTTCTGACCTTCATGAGAGGCTCGAGGATGCTACCTGTGGAATCAGACCACAAGGTTTGATTGTAATATTGCCTTGGTATGTCATGTGGGAAAGGTCCAGTACCACCGCGATTTTCAGTGCAAAGGGAAAAAAAGTCCCTTCTAATGTCTTTGAGCAAAGGACAGTTCTTCAGCTTCCATAGAGGCTTTTCCATGTACAACTGACTCACAAAAAGAGAAGAATGATGTGTTTTGGCCATGGGTGCCATAACCTGTCATGCATCCAGTGATTAGTTAATGTGGCCAGGGTTTGGAAAAGTGGTTTAAGTGGGTGTCAGGTCTATGCATAACCTGAGGAAACAGTAAGAGTTAATAAGTGAGACCCAGTTTGAAGGACAGTCCATAGTAGAGGATCAGAGGGAAAATGGAATAGATTGAGACAATCAATATCCAATCAGCCTCTTTTTTTTTTTTTTTTAAGATTTTAAGTAATCTCTACACCCAACATGGGGCTCGAACTCGCAACCCCGAGATCAAGAGTCGCATGCTCCACAGACTGAGGCAGCCAGGTGCCCCTCCAATCAGCCTTTTAATAAATGGCTAAAGAAAGGGGAGGCTTTGTTAAAAGGAAGATTTTTTTTTTTCTCTTTTTTATTTCCTTCTGGGAGTAGGAAGACCCAGTGGGGGAGAAAATAGGTAGAAGTGAAGTTTCTTGATCTGTGATCTTGAGAAAAACTGTCTACTTCATGATTTTGTCTGCTTTTGGGACCTGGGAATTTGCCTGGGAAATCCTTACTTTAAGGTCCCCCTAGGGATGGTCTTCCAATTGTCCTGGGAGTGCTGATCCTGGTCTAACTTAGCAGGGCTTGTGTGAATCCAGAAGGATTTTTCTTTTATTTTGATAGCAGTGTGAGTGGTTAGTAGTACTTCATAAAGGTCTTCTCAGTGAGATGATAATGTGTGCTTTCCTCTAAAAACGGTGTTGTATATCTAATCTTCTGGTCAAAAGGATGGCAAAGCTTGCCAGTCATCAGAGGCCATGCCATTTTTACCTGTTGATGATATGCTCCATTTAGACTAGTTAGGTCTTGTATACAGCTAGTCATAAGGACAGGAGAACAAAGGCAAAAGAATTGTAGATAAAATTAAACCTCTTTACAACTTGCAGTCCATTGACAAATACTTGAGGCAGGCAGTGTAGGGCATTCCTCAAGGAACCCACAACTGATATAAGGTTCATGTTTTGCTAGAGGCAAAAAGCAACCTTAGGGGTTCCTGGGTGGCTCAGTTGGTTAAGCGACTGCCTTCGGCTCAGGTCATGATCCTGGAGTCCCTGGATCGAGTCCCACATCTGGCTCCCTGCTCGGCAGGGAGTCTGCTTCTCCCTCTGACCCTCCCCCCTCTCATGTGCTCTCTCTCTCATTCTCTCTCTGTCAAATAAATAT